TGCTATGTTCCTTCTCCAATACTCCCACTATCCTATCGTTCAGCAGCTTACAGAACACTTTCCTTACTGTGTTCAACAGTGTGATCCCCGTGCAGTTTCCTGGGTCAGTCTTGTCTCCTTTCTTGAACAAGTTCACAACCACTCCTTCCCTCCATCTACTTGGCGTATACTCGTTTTTCCACACCCAATTGTATAGCAGTACCATCAGCTGGATCATCCCCTTCCCCCCAAACTTCATGAACTCGTTGACTATCCCATCCGCTCCTGCTGCTTTGTGGCACTTCAGCTTGTTCACACACGCCTCAACCTCGTCCTCAGTGAACTCCTTTTCTAGTTCTACGTTCCCAACGTCTGCCTTCGATGTCTCTTCTTCTTTTTGGGCCCATGCGTCCACCTCCTTCTTAAACGCTTGGTCAAAAGCTTCATTCTCCGAGGGCACTCCAAGTCTCTTGTAGTGTCCTGCTAGAACTTCCCTTTTTCCCTTCCCACTGCTGACTAATCCACCGTTCACACCTCGCAAAGTTGCTACTCCTGTATCCCCCCCTTGCGCGGTTTTTTTCACCCTTCCAATAATCCCTTCCCACATCTGCTTGACGTTCCCCTCCAGGCCTCCGTTGGCCTTCTGTACTACTTTGTCCCAAATACACTTTTTCTTCTTTGTCACTAGTCCCTTCACCTGATCTCTCTTGGCTCTGTACTTTTCCCAACTCGCCTCAGACGCCTCACTCAGGTACTGCTTGAAGACTTCTTTACGTTCCCCTATTTCTTCTTTCAGCTCGTCAACCCACCACTTTATTAATACCCCACATCGTACCACCTTCCTTCCCACTACTCTCTCTGCCGTTGCGTTCACGATGGACTCCCACCCTTCAATCACTCTGTCCCCTGCTGCCTGTACGTCTACCTGTCCGTCTTCGACGCTTCTCAGCAGTTTCCTGAAGGATTCTACACTACCAGCCAGCCCCTTCTGGAATTCATCCCGTGTCCCATCGTCTCCCAAACGCTCTACCTTCCACCGGAACACTTTCCTCTGTTTCTTACTCTTGATCTTTCTGGATCGGTCGATGTTTGCCCATATGAGGAAGTGGTCGGTCGAACCTATATCTATCGCACTTACGTGCAGCTCTGGGATCTGCGTGCTCCCCCTATCTACCAGGATGTAGTCGAGGATTGAGTATTCATTGCAAACTGCCCGTTGCCTTGTGAGTGAACTCCGGCTTATCGCATTCACTCCTACCGTTCAACACCATCAGTTACTTCCCAAGAATTCAAGCATCCTCACTCCGTTGTCATTCACTTTATCTACTCCGTGCTGCCCAGTCGCCTGTCCTCTACCGGAAGCTTTCCCTACTCTGGATTNATCGGTCGATGCTTGCCCATATGAGGAAGTGGTCGGTCGAACCTATATCATCTACACTTA